GGGCTGACCGGTGCAACTACTGCCGAGCTGCGTTGCCCATGTGTAAGCTGGAGGTTTGACTGCTGCAGCGGTAACCATACACAACTTTCCACCGGTATGAGCTTGCGGATGTGCCTGCAGCAGATGAGACTGTGCACAGCGTGTGAGCGACCGGTGTCACTACTCAGACTGAGTCCCGATTCAGCTGTGTGAGCTGACAGGTGTGACTACAGCAGAGCTGACTGTGCCCACTGTGTGAGCTGTGTGGGCTGATGGGTGTGACTACAGCAGAGCTGGCTGTGCCCACTGTGTGAGCTGACGGGTGTCACTACACAGACTGAGACCCGACTCACCTGTGTGAGCTGACAGGTGTGACTACAGCAGAGCTGACTGTGCCCACTGTGTGAGCTGTGTGAGCTGACGGGTGTGACTACAGCAGAGCTGGCTGTGCCCACTGTATGAGCTGACAGGTGTGACTGCAGCAGAGCTGACTGTGCCCACTGTGTGGGCTGTGTGAGCTGACGGGTGTGCCCACAGCAGAGCTGACTGTGCCCACTGTGTGGGCTGTGTGAGCTGACGGGTGTGCCCACAGCAGAGCTGACTGTGCCCACTGTGTGAGCTGTGTGAGCTGACGGGTGTGCCCACAGCAGAGCTGACTGTGCCCACTGTGTGAGCTGTGTGAGCTGACGGGTGTGCCCACAGCAGAGCTGGCTGTGCCCACTGTGTGAGCTGTGTGAGCTGACGGGTGTCACTGCAGCAGAGCTGGCTGTGCCCACTGTGTGAGCTGTGTGAGCTGACGGGTGTGACTACAGCAGAGCTGACTGTGCCCACTGTGTGAGCTGTGTGAGCTGATGGGTGTGCCTACAGCAGAGCTGACTGTGCCCACTGTGTGAGCTGTGTGAGCTGACAGGTGTGACTACAGCAGAGCTGACTGTGCCCACTGTGTCAGCTGACGGGTGTGACTACAGCAGAGCTGACTGTGCCCACTGTGTGAGCTGTGTGAGCTGACGGGTGTGCCTACAGCAGAGCTGACTGTGCCCACTGTGTGAGCTGTGTGAGCTGACGGGTGTGCCTACAGCAGAGCTGACTGTGCCCACTGTGTGGGCTGACGGGTGTGACTACAGCAGAGCTGACTGTGCCCACTGTGTCAGCTGACGGGTGTGACTACACAGACTGAGACCCGACTCACCTGTGTGAGCTGACAGGTGTGACTACAGCAGAGCTGACTGTGCCCACTGTGTGAGCTGACGGGTGTCACTACACAGACTGAGACCCGACTCACCTGTGTGAGCTGACAGGTGTGACTACAGCAGAGCTGACTGTGCCCACTGTGTGAGCTGTGTGGGCTGATGGGTGTGACTACAGCAGAGCTGACTCTGCCCACTGTGTGAGCTGACGGGTGTGACTACAGCAGAGCTGACTGTGCCCACTGTGTGGGCTGATGGGTATGACTACAGCAGAGCTGACTCTGCCCACTGTGTGAGCTGACGGGTGTGACTACAGCAGAGCTGACTGTGCCCACTGTGTGAGCTGTGTGAGCTGACGGGTGTGCCTACAGCAGAGCTGACTGTGCCCACTGTGTGGGCTGACGGGTGTCACTACACAGACTGAGACCCGACTCCCCTGAGTGGGCTGAGACCCGACTCACCTGTGTGAGCTGTGTGGGCTGACGGGTGTGACTACACAGACTGAGACCCCACTCACCTGAGTGGGCTGAGACCCGACTCACCTGTGTGGGCTGTGTGAGCTGACGGGTGTCACTACACAGACTGAGACCCGACTCACCTGTGTGGGCTGTGTGGGCTGACGGGTATCACTACACAGACTGAGACCCGACTCCCCTGTGCGGGCTGAGACCCGACTCACCTGAGTGGGCTGAGACCCGACTCCCCTGTGTGGGCTGTCTCCCCTCACAGCTCCTGCTGCAGCACCTGGCCGCCATTGCCCCCGAGAAGAACGACTCCCTGGGCGAGCTGCTGGCGTCGCTGGGAGAGGTGCCCAGCGTGGAGTCGTTCCTGGGTAAGGACCGTCCCTTCCCCTGTGCCTGCTCGGGTTGGTTTTGGGGTGCCCTGTCCTAGAGCAAAGGAGCACTCTGCAACTGGGGAAAGGCCGTCGGGGCTGCGCAGTGCGCACTCCGGGCTATAAAGGGGCTGGGCTCGGACCACGGGCAGCGCCTGCCAGCCTGTCTGAACACCGGGCCCCGCCTAGGTTTCCTAAGGATTTCTGTGGCCATGGTTGTGCTGTCCGTACCTGCACCACGTTTGGAGGATCTGTGTCCTGTGTTCTCGTAATGTCCACAGGTGTGCGGGACACTCGGGTTGTGAGGACCGCGGCCTCCCCTCCCACGCCTGAGCGCCCATGTCCCCACACAGCCTCTCTCGTGTGGTGAGGTCATCCTCACGTGGGAGCTGGACCACTGACCCCCTTGCTGTTTCGCTGCAGGGGAGGGAGCCGTTGACCCCAACGACCCCAACCGGGCAAACACGCTGAGCCAGCTCTCCAAGACGGAGATCTCCCTTTCCCTGACGAGCAAGTACGACGTGGGGGACGGCGAGGCTGTGGACGGCCGGAGCCTCCTGATCAAGTAAGTGCCCACCGCAGGGCGCGGGCCGGGGCCCGTCCCACACCAGAGAACCCACGCAGCGCATCTCAGAGCTGGTGAATAGTGAAATACACTCGCGTGTGAGACGCTGACCAGCGCAGAGCCGACTGCTGCCCCGGGGGAGGGAGAACCACGCCGCAGTGGCCTAAGTCCTCCGTGCACTGCGCGGTTTCTTCCAGAAGTCCCCGAGGCTGCCTGTTGTGTGGCTCCTAGGCGTGTCAGGTAGACCTGTGTTGACCCCTGTGAGCGTCTCAAGGTGCCTTGCAGGTTCATTCCTTAAAGAGATGACTCAGCCTGTGACAGTCCCAGCTGACTGAGAGGCCGAGAGATGGGCGGGCCGCCCTCACCCAGTGCAGCGGCTGTGACGTGGAAGCCGCACACGCGTGTAAGAGGGTGGCGCCCACTCACCCTTCACACGTGGGACCTTGAGGGTGCTTAGGTCTTTCCCTCGTCCGCGCCTCGCTCCAGCCCCCGAGCTGTCCACAGGGCGCTGGCCCTGTGTTTCTCCCCCGAAGGCCTCATGAGTGCCCGTCAGCTCCTTGCTCCCAGCGGGAAGAGTGGGACTCCCGAGGAAGCGCAGGCACACACGGTGCTTCCAGAGGGTGGGGATGCAGCCCCCGGGCGGCTGTGTCTGGGGCAGGCGGACCCCTGGAAACAGGGCAGGAAGTCGGCGTGGTGGAAACAGCTGGACGCACCCCTTGCCAGCTGCCTGTCGTGTGCTGAGCCCGTTCTGGACGACGAGGGCTGCCCCTGCCTGGCGTCCAACAGTGGTCATGCCCACGATTCTCCCCGGATACTCAGTGGCCCGAGGAAGCAGCCCAGAGCCCTCTCCGTGGGTGCTGCTTCCTTGGGGCCCACGTGCCCTTCCCACAGGTCCCCCACACTCCCTCCCCCCGGGAGCAAGTGTGTGTCCCCACTCGGGCACCGAGGCAGGACGCAGCAGGAGCCTTGGGCAGCCTCTGTGTCCCAGGGGCTCCCCGCGCCCCGGCAGAGGGCACGGCCGGACCGCAGGTGGCGGCCTCACCTGGCAGGGGTGAGGGCTTTGCAGTCACGGTCACCAGCCAGGCCGGTCAGGACACAGTGCAGGGCAGGCGTGAGAAGGGAAAGGTCCGCCCTCACACGCTCGCTGAGCAAGTGCCAGTCGTGGGTGAACGTGAACCAGAGACGGCGGCTCCGCGGTGCGTGCCACGCACTCAGAAGTGTGGGACAGGCAGCTCCTTCATCGGCTCTGTCTGTGGCTGGAGCTCCGGTTTCTGGATGTGCGCAGTCTACTCAAATATCTGTTAGTGAGTGGGCATCACAGTTTGGGTCTAAAACATCAGATGATCTGAATGTCGTATTTTTAGTATTTCCCAGCAAGTTCTCGGAAGTTACGTGTTAGACACAAAGCCATAAAAGGCAGGCGTCTGGGCAGGACTGCACCTGAGCCTGGAACCCCAGCACCCCCACTCCGGCCTCTGCAGCCCAGCCCCCGCCTGGCTCCCTCCTGCTCCGCCTGGGGCTCCCTACTCCCCAGAGCTGGCCAGTGGGCTTCTTCGTGTCTTATTGTGAACCACGTGTGATGTACCACGTCCCACATACAGCTCAGTGGCATGCAATCCATGCAGCGTTTCACAGGCACTGCCGTGCTGTCATGCAGAATGTCCCCCACCCCACCCAAGGGAACCCCTGCGCATCACAGAGCCGCCGCCCATCCCCGCCTCTCCCAGCCCCTGGCCGTCACTCCTCTGCCTCCTGTCCCTGTGAACCTGTGTGTTGTGATCCGTGTGGACGACCCTCGGCCTGCGGCGGTGGCTTCTGCTCGGCTCATGGTTCCCCAGTCTCCTGCGTGTTGCGGCTGACTGGGGCCTCACTCCGCTTGGTGACTGGATCGTGCTGTGTTCCACGGTTAGGCCACGTCTTACTGATCCTCTCGCTGTGGTGTGGACGTCTGGGTTGTGTCCACCTCGGCTCCTACGCATGGTGCTGCTGTGTGCATTTTCTCGTGAGGTTTCTGCTTTGTTTTGTTTTAACGTATGTTTATCTGAAAGAGTTGCAGAGAGGGAGGGAGAGACAGAGGTCTTCCACCTCTGGTTCATCTCCCTGATGGCCACAGTGGCCAGTGCTGGGCCAGGCCGAAGCCAGAATCCAGGAGCTTCTTCCAGGTCTCCCACATGGGTGCAGGGGCCCAAGCGCTTGGTCCATCCTCTGCTGCTTTCCCAGGCCACAGCAGAGAGCTGGATCGGAAGTGGAGCAGCTGGGACTTGAACAGGTGCCCATATGGGATGGCGGGCCTGCAGGCGGCGGTGCTGTCAGCTGCACACCGCCGGCCCCTGCGCGCAGGTCTCTGTCTGGGCGCCTGTGTGCGAGACGTGGCTGTGTAGTGAGAGAGGGTGGCAGGGTTGGGTCATGATTCTGCGCACACTTCTCCCAGGAGCCACCAGGATGTTTCCCACAGCCACTGCACGATCGCGTCTCCCGGCAAGGTGGGAGCTGTCGTGTCTCCAGCTCGCTCCCTCCATGTAACTGTGTGAGGTCATGGGCAGGCTGCTGCTCGCTCCCTGCGTGGGGTCAGGGGCGGGCTCCTGCTCCCTCCCTGGGTGAGGTCACGGGCGGGCTCCTGCTCCCTCCATGTAACTGTGTGAGGTCATGGGCAGGCTGCTGCTCGCTCCCTGCGTGGGGTCAGGGGCGGGCTGCTGCTCCCTCCCTGGGTGAGGTCAGGGGTGGGCTGCTGCTCCCTCCCTGGGTGAGGTCAGGGGCGGGCTCCTGCTCCCTCCATGTAACTGTGAGGTCATGGGCGGGCCCCTGCTCCCTCCATGTAACTGTGTGAGGTCATGGGCGGGCTGCTGCTCGCTCCCTTCGTGGGGTCAGGGGCGGGCTCATGCTCCCTCCTTGGGTGGGGTCAGGGGCGGGCTCCTGCTCGCTCCCTCCATGTAACTGTATTTATTTGTCATTGTTTTATAATCGCCGTCCCTGGGTTCTGGTTGGAAGTCGCTCGTGCTCGTCCACCCTGCCTGTACCGCCCACGGAGACGCCCACTCTGGTCTTTGCGGTTTTGAGTTGGGTCACAGTTGCTCCACATTCGCACTGACAGTTTTTGCCTTCTTTTTCTGTGGTAGCCCTTCTAGGGGCAAGAAGCGGTTTTGAGTTTTCATTTATTTGAAAAGTAGGCAGAGAAGCCAGCTGGTCACTCCCCAGATGCCTGGAATACAGGGTCTCAGCCGGGTCAAAGCCAGGAGCCTGGAACTCCATCGGGGTCTCCCGCATGGGCGGCAGGGGCCCAAGCACTTGGGCCAACTTTCGCTGCTTTCCCAAGCGTATTAGAAGGGAGCTGGATCGGAAGTGGAGCGGCGGGACTTGAACCAGCACCCCTGGAGACGCCGGCACTGCAGGTGGCAGCGTACCCAGCTGTCCACCGCCCCCGCAACCCAGGCTGATGGTTTTGCGAGAGAACGTCCCGTTCTTGTTGAAGAGACTATGCCCTCCCCAGGGGCTGGTCTTGGCTCCCTTGTGAGAACAACGGACTGCACGTGTGTCTCCGTCCGTGGACTGCGGGTTTAGCCCGTCGGTCTACACATCTGTCCTCATGCAGGTCCCCCAGCATACTGACTGTTGTCGCTCTGTGCTGAGTTTTGAAATGGAGGAATGTGAGTGCTCCATGTTTGTCCTTTTTTCAGGATGTTTTGGGAAGCTCCTTTGCAGTTAGAAATTTTAGGGTCAACTTTTCCATTTAGGTGAAAAAAAGAAAAATACACCAGGGGCAGCATTGTGGTGCAGCAGGCGAAGCCACCACTTGGGACGCCAGCGTCCTGTATCAAAGTCCCGGCTACTCTGCCTCCTTTGCAGCCCCTGCTAATGTACCTGGGAAGGCAGCCAAAGGCGACTCAGGTGCCTGGGGTCTCTGCAGCCCCGTGGGAGGCCGGGATGGAGCTCCTTAGCCTGACCCAGCCCTGGCTGCTGTGGCCATTTGGGTTGTAAACTGGCGGAGGGAAGATCTCTCTCTCTTTCCCTCTCCCCTTCCCCTTCAAATCCATAAACACTTGTACAAAACGCAACCCAGCTGTTGGGCGGTGCTTTAAAATCTGATCGCTCACTGCTTTCCTGGCCCCTCCCCCCGGGTGTAAGAGGCTCCCTGCGGCGCATACTTGGAGGTCCCGCTGTGGACAGAGCGGCCCAGAGGCCAGGGTGGGGCAGAACTTGAACCCAAGGCTGACCAAGTGGCTGCGGCTGAAAGTGAAACGTGGGATTTGTCCAAAAGATTCGGTGGAGTCAGGGCTCTGATTTTGCAAGTCTTCCTCCTGGATTCGGTTTCCTTCCTTTAAAGAATGGATCTGAAAATCTGGGTACAGCCAATAACGACAGCGTGTGGCACTGACCGGGCCTCGGGCTGCCTGTGCGTCTTCATCTTTGATCCAGGAAACTCGGTTCTGAAAGTCAAGGAAGAAGCAGTCTCTGGCAGGCTTGGCGTGCCTGTTTCATGGGCACTCCGTTAGCACACTTAGCAATGCTGACCTGAAAGCTCTCGCGGGAGGGACTTGTTTTGAAGCTGCTGAACCAGGCTCCTGCCCCTGCCCCAGGCAGCCAGAGGTCACGGAAGCCAGACAGCAGCTGTCCCACGCCCTCGGGAGTGGACGACAGGAAGTGCGGGCCGTGGGGCAGAGCGAGCCCGGCGGAGCCCGACACTGGCTTCCGTGTGAGACGAGCAGCGTGAGCGCCCCCTCTCAGAGGCTGCCCAGCCCCTCACGGAAGCACAGCTGCTGGGGCTCCCGCAGAGCAGGGCTGCTGCCTGCGCGTCCTGCGCTAGCCAGACCCTCTCCTCAGAGGAGCCGGCGGTGCCGACGCACGCCTGTGCGGTGCCTCCCACGCTGTCGTGCCCAGGGACAGCTCTGGACGACACCTGTGGGTCTCTAGAGAGCTGGCAGCCTAGGGTGTGTGGTGTGACATCACGACACATCTCATGGACATAATGCATCTGTCATGTGTCGTGTGATTTAGCAAAACGCATATTGTGTGCTGTGTGGAATAACATGTATATGTCATGTGGTTTAGTGGTGTGTATATCATGTGTTTGACATACTAATGCAGATAGCATGTCTCAAGTAATCTAACACATGTATCAATGCTGTGTGATACAGTGACATGCATATCATGTCGTGTCACACTGTCACACATGTCACATGTTGTGTGGCATATGTCATGTGATGCAACACATGTATTGCATGAGTCCTGTGCTACAACAGCACATGCAACACATGTCGTGTGGCGCTGCCCCAGCCCCAGGACGGGCTGCTGACTGCCAGTGTTGCACAGACGAAGACCCTGGGCCCAGAGCAGACCCAGACATTTTCCAGGATGATTTAGCTGGAAACTGGAGCGGAGGCTCTAACGCAGACAGTGCTAACCTACCCCTCGGAGTCTGGGATAAGCCATGACCACCGCAGGGTCCCTGCCTAATGGGTGTCAGAGCCACGCTCTGGGCCAGACGGGTGATGGATGGGCTGAGGGACACACAGGGCACGTGCTGAACCTGGAAGACCCTGACTGCCCCCTCCCTGCGTGGGGTCACAGGCGGGCTCCTGCTCCCTCCCTGTGTGGGGTCATGGGCGGGCTCCTGCTCCCTCCCTGCGTCCAGTCACTGGTGGGCTCCTGCTCCCTCCCTGCATGGGGTCACGGGTGGGCTCCTGCTCCCTCCCTGTGTGGGGTCACAGGCACACTCCTGCTCCCTCCCTGTGTGGGGTTACAGGCACACTCCTGCCCCCTCCCTGTATGGGGTCACAGGCACACTCCTGCCCCCTCCCTGCGTGGGGTCACAGGCACACTCCTGCTCCCTCCCTGCGTGGGGTTACAGGCACACTCCTGCCCCCTCCCTGTGTGGGGTCACGGGCGGCCTCCTGCTCCCTCCCTGCGTGGGGTCACGGGTGGGCTCCTGCCCCCTCCCTGCGTGGGGTCACGGGTGGGCTCCTGCCCCCTCCCTGTGTGGGGTCACAGGCACACTCCTGCCCCCTCCCTGCGTGGGGTCAGGGCGGGCTGCTGCTCTCGCCCAGCACCAGCAGGCTCTGCAGTGTGGACAGAAAAGCTGGGTCGGGGAAGTGGGAGCACAGCCCCATCTGTCCATCAGGCGGTGGCCTTGGGACCCAGTGAGGAGCCCAGCCATGGAGTCCTCAGAGCGGAGGGGGCGGTGGTGGGAGGGTCTCACGGCGCCCCTGTTGCCGCCCCAGACATCACAGCTCCAGCGTCAGACCCCAGCAGCAGGCTCTGCCTGTCCTCTCCTCGGTCCATCGCGGCGGGGGTCCCTGAGGGGTCCCTGTTTTATCAGTGAGAGGGACGGCCCTGTAGGAACACATGACATCTGTGGATCACGCATCAGCGAGCCACAGCCAGATGCGGCCTCAGGTCCTCTGACCTGTGCAGGAGCAGGGCTGGGGGGCATACACAGGTGGGACGTCTTGGGTAGAACCCGGGCAGAGAATTCCACGGCACTCCGGGGCAGATGGCCGTTTGGCTGTGTCCTGGAGCAGCACCAAAATAAAACACTGTCCCCCATGGCCGAGAGCTGCGCCACTCCTTTGAGGCTCAGCGCGGCGGGCCCTGCTGCAGCCTCACACAGTGGGCACCGTCAGGGTGCTCAGGTGGCCCTGTCACCGACTTGGCGTCCTGTGTAGCACACTTACGTTGGAGGAGGGGCTGTCCAGGGAGGAAACGGCCATCCTGGGTGTGACTGGCTGTGTGCTCGCCCCAGTCTCAGGCCGGAGGCGCCGTTCGTCCCAGGTCTCCCCGCCCGCAAGCCTCCGCTGCCACAGTCCTGGGAGGAAGTGGGGCCCGGGGCAGCCAGGCCAGCGCCTGGCTGAGCTGAAGCCGAACCCAGCAAGCTGCCCACTCAGCCCATCCCCCTGGCCTGGGGCAGCTCCTGTGTGTGTCATTCCAGTAGTGCTGCCCCCCCCCTCCGGGGTGACACCCGTGGGCAGACCTGACCAGTGACCTGTTCTCTTCAAATCTGTTTCCGTCACCCTGCCCGACGCCCACTGGGAGCAGCTGGCTGTGCTGTCGGAAGTGCCCAGTGCTGGCGTCCAGGGGCAGGGCTCCGGCCTCTGCCTGCCAACCGGGTGTGCTCACCCCCCAGGCCCCCGGACGCCTGGCATCCTGCACCGCGTCCGACCGCAGCTCACGGCGTCACATGCTCCCGGCTGGTGTGGAATCAGCTCACGGCCTCACACGCCCCCGGCTGGTGTGGAATCAGCTCACGGGCTTGCACGCTCCCGGCTGGTGTGGAATCAGCTCATGGGCTTGCACGCTCCCGGCTGGTGTGGAATCAGCTCACGGCCTCACACGCCCCTGGCTGGTGTGGAATCAGCTCACAGCCTCACACGCCCCTGGCTGGTGTGGAATCAGCTCACGGCCTCACACGCCCCTGGCTGGTGTGGAATCAGCTCACGGGCTCGCACGCTCCTGGCTGGTGTGGAATCGCCTCCCAGCAGGAGGTGTCCCAGCTGCCCGGCTCCCGAGGGCTTGGGAAACTTTAAGCAGAGTCAGGAAAGCACTGGGCTGTGGCTCCTGCTCCCTCGGCACTAGCTGCCCTAGAGCCAGGCAGGAAGCAGCCTGGAGGAGACAGCCTGCAGGTCACTCCTGTGTGTGGCGGGACAGTGTGGCCCGAACCCAGTCAGGGATCCTCACGAGCTTGCGGGGTCCCGGGCCGGGCCTGGTCAGTCGCTGAGCGCCGTCTGTGAGTGACGGCCCTGGCGCCCCACCCGGTGTGTGAGGCCCGTCTGACGGTCTCTCTCCCGTCTCTCTCGTAAGGACCAAGAAGCTGATCGTGGACGTGATCCGGAGCCAGCCGGGGAACACTCTGATGGAAATCTTAGAGGCCCCAGCCACGGAAGAGCAGGTAACTTGTCTTCCGGTACAGAACGGCCAGGAGCCGACGTTGGCTGTCCTCTGTCCCACGGAGGAAGGGGGCTCCATCTGGGATCGAGGCCCACTGCGTGCTGTGTGCACAGAGCCCACGTGGAGAGCCGTGGGAGCGAGACGGGAGCCAGCCGGAGGCGGTTCCGGGAGACAGGATGTGGAGGGATGCCTCTCATTCCTCGTGTGTCTGCTGACGGCCAGCACAGCGCAGCTGTCCTCACGCTGCAGACGCCGTGTCTGGAGTTCCCCGCCAGAGTCCACTGCGCCCCTGCCAGACGCGAGCCCCGTGGGACTTGTGACTCACCTATGTAAAATGTGTCGCCGTTCAGTCTTAACGAAACAGGCTCAGTGCAGCCGGTGCCACTCCCGACATGCAGCAGCTAAGCAAGCTGCGTGTGATTATCCTGAATATTCATTCCCTCGCGGTCCTGGCTGCCGGAGAATCACTGTGCTCAGCTTTGAACTTTAGAAATGTAAGACGAGACGTGGGATTGTCAGGGGTTCGTCAGCGTGTTTCAAGCACTGTGGGGGGACAGCGCACTGATCTGCCCGAGGAGACTTTGTCCTTGTTCTGTGTTTCGGTCCCGCCCGGGTGCAACTGCGCTAAGTGGCTGGGAGCCCGGGCTCCCGGGTCAAGTGTAGCATCGGCCTCCCCGACAGTCACCCTGGGCCCTTGGGGCTGCTTCCGTGCCTCGGCTGTAAGATGGCAACAGTGAGAGTGTCCCCGATGGACAGGCACTGTTGAATGAGCTGTGGCCTGGCGATCAAAACACCTACATCCTGTGTCAGAGGGCCCGGGTTCAACTCCCAACCCCAGCTCCAGCCTCCAGCTTCCTGCTAGCAGATGCGGGGGGGGGGGGGGGGGCAGCAGTGATGGCTCAAGTAGTCGGGCGCCTGCCATTTACATGGAAGACCTGGCTTGAGTTCCTGGCTCCTGGCTTTAAGCAGCCACAGGCAGCACCCAGTGGGTGGGTGCACACTCTCTCTCTCTGTCCCTCAAATAAGTAAGGACAGTGGAAACCCATGTTAAGTGGGTTGAGTGGTTCCTGGCATGTGGTCAGTGTCCTCCAAACAGCACTGGCCCTGCTGTGTCTAAGAGCACCCATGGTCTGTGGTCCGTGGTCCGGTATGTACCACACTGAAACAGGAGGATCGTCACCATCTGTGTACAGGACACTGATCTTGGGACTTGCCGTGTGCAGAGTATCCCGACTCCCTCTGGTGCACTGACACCTGTGGGCTTTGCAGAGTGGACCCCTTGTGGGGGTGGGGCACCCGGACACCCCCGTGGGGTCCCACAGGCATCTGCACACGGGCGGATGAGGCCGCACTGGGTTCTGGACCTCCAGCCTTTGCGTAGCTGCTGTTGGCCGATGGTCTCTGGCTTTTCCATGGAAGTGGGAAGTAGCACTCATCCTGCGAGCCCCGCCCATTGCCTGGCAGGGGTCAGGCGTCCGCCCTGGAGGCCCATGAGGTGACAGGGGAAGGGCAGGTGCTGGCTGTGGCCTGGGGGCTGTTGCTTTCCTTCCTTCCTTTCCTTCCTTCCTTCCTTCCTTCCTTCCTTCCTTCCTTCCTTCCTTTTTTTCTTTCTTTCTTTCTTTCTTTCTTTCTTTCTTTCTTTCTTTCTTTCTTTCTTTCTTTCTTTCTAAGATTCATTTATTTGAAAGGCAGGGCAACAGAGAAGGAGGGAGAGACAGAGAGAGAGAGAGAGAGAGATCTCCCATCTGCTGGTTCACTGCCCAGACTCCCACTGTAGTAGGACTGGGTCAGGCCACAGCCGGGAGCCGGGAGCTCCACGTCTGGGTCTCCCAGGCAGGGGCCGGAGCCATCCTCTGTGCCTCCCAGGTGCATCAGCAGGGAGCTGCTTCCGAAGCCGGGTGTGTCCAGGACCTGAACCTGCACCCCCGTGGGACGCTGGCACCCAGGCTGCACCCACACCCGCCCTTGAGGGTTTCTTTTTGATGTTAACGTGGCGGTCGTGCCAGGTGGGGGCGGCTCCTGCAACTGGGCTCAGAGAGAAGTGGGCGCCTTGCTGTGTCCTTGCAGGAACAGGACCACGCCGCGGACATGGCGAGCCGGGCGGCCAGGACCGCAGGAGACCAGGGGCAGAGCCAGCCCCTGGTGGAGGACGCCCAGCTGCCCCTCGAGCAGAAGAAGAGGAAGATCCAGAGGAACCTGCGGACGCTGGAGCAGACCGGACTCGTGTCCTCCGCCAACAAGTACCAGGACATCCTCAACGAGATCGCCAAGGTCGGCACTGTCACTCTGCTCGCTCAGTGGGCGTCTGTGAGCCGCCTGCCAGGGCTGGAGCGGGGCACTGGGGCCCAGCTGCCTACTCCCCTCTGCAGAGATCATTAAGGTTTCCCAGCAGGCCATGTGAGGAGGAGGTCGCACACTAGGAGGGGACCCGGAGGGGCAGCAGGGCCTGCTCCCTGGGCCAGGCCCCCACCTGCCCCCAGCCTGCCAGCGCCAAGCTCGCCCTGCCCTCGGGACTGCCCTGGGCAGGGGCGTGAGAGGGCCGGGGCGCGCTCGCAGGCGGCTGACACGGGGAGGCTTTCTGTTTTTCTCGTCCCGTGAGTTCGTTCTTGAGAAACTTCCCCAGAAAAGTCTCGAGTCTGTACAGAAACAGGAAGTGGGGGAGGCCTGCCTGCCAAGGATAAGCACGTGTGCGTTGGGGACAAAAGCATGTTTCATTCTTTTGTTCCAAACTTGCTGGCTGGGGCAGGGCTACAGGCTAAAGGCGGCTGAATACTCGGAAAAACAGGCTCAGGACTCCGGGCGATCCCAGTAGGTTCCGGCCATCAGTGCCTCCCCCGGCCCGAGTGACGCTGGGGCCGGAAATGCTTCTCTTTGGGACTGGGAGATAGACAAGTCAGTGCTTTTGACTAAAAAGTCATTTTTAAAATACGCACTCTGAACGAAGAACAAGGCTGCTCTGAAGGCAGCCCCAAGGGTTCTGTTTCATGAAGGCTTGCTCTGTTGAGAGGGCGTGCGGGGTGGGGGTGCCCCTCGGGTCTGGGGGGCTGCTGTTCTGTGCGCGAGGGGAACGCGGTGTGGCAGAGGCCCGATGTTCCCCAGGGAGACATCCTGGGAGCTTATCAGGGAGGCCTGCGGGACAGGCGCGTATCCGCCAGCTCACGAGGAGCGGGGCTCTTGTCAGCGGTGAGCAGCCCCCTCAGCTCTGTGTTCTGGGAATTCTATCTGCATCCAAACACAGCCACTTCTCGGTGGCTGGGGTTCCAGGAAACCCCTCCCCTGCCGCCCCCACCTCCACAGATGCTCCTGTACCCTCTGAAATGGCAGAGTGGGTCGGTGACTCGTAACGCGTGACACAGTGAGACACGAGACCCAGTGCCAGTGCTGGGAGTGCCAGTGCTGGGCGGTTTAGGGCGCGATGGCCACCAGACAGCCCGTGCTGCTCCCACACAGCAGATCCGATCCGTGCAGTGCCGCAGCGCACACGGGCCCAGTGCCCAGGGCAGAGGGCAGCCGTGACGGTGACTCCTCGGTCTCCTCCGGCGGCGCCGCATCTCTCCCAAGCGCAGCTGCCGTCTTCACAGACCTCACGCAGTATCTGCCAGATGCGGGTTTGTCACAGCTCACGTGAGCCCAGCAGTTAGCCACGGGCCCTCTTAGCCGAAAGCCAGGGCTCGCCGGCCACCGCTCGCGTCTTGGCGGCACCTCTTGGGAAGCACTTCTCCCCTAACGCGTGCTCGTTCTGCAGTCACTTCCGTCTTCCGCCCAGGGCTCCTACGGACCCGGGACAGCACTTCTCCCCTAACGCGTGCTTGTTCTGCAGTCACTCCGTCTTCCGCCCAGGGCTCCTACGGACCCGGGACAGCACTTCTCCCCTAACGCGTGCTCGTTCTACGGTCACTCCGTCTTCCGCCCAGGGTTCCTACGGACCCGGGATAGCACTTCTCCCCTAACGCGTGCTTGTTCTGCAGTCACTTCCGTCTTCTGCCCAGGGTTCCTACGGACCCGGGATAGCACTTCTCCCCTAACGCGTGCTTGTTCTGCAGTCACTCCCGGAAGTCTTCCGCCCAGGGTTCCTACGGACCCGGGATAGCACTTCTCCCCTAACGCGTGCTTGTTCTACGGTCAGTTCCGGAAGTCTTCCGCCCAGGGTTCCTACGGACCCGGGATAGGATCCCGCCCCGTCCTCACGTGGAAAGAACGGGGACTCTCGGGCAGAGTACGGCCAGAGCCCGAGCCGAGTGCCAGCGGACGCCACCGACAGCCGCTCGCCGCGGGGCAGGCGTCCTCCTCGGCCTCACGGCCTGCTCCTGTCGTTTCAGGACATTCGGAATCAAAGAATCTACCGTAAGCTTCGGAAAGCTGAGCTGGCCAAGCTGCAGCAGACGCTGCTCGCCCTTAACAAGAAGGCGGCGTTCTACGAGGAGCAGATCAACTACTACGACACCTACATAAAGACCTGCCTGGACAACCTCAACAGGAAGTGAGTGCGCGCCCCGCGGTCTGTGGTCACGTGCGTGTCTGTGCGAGCCCTGCGGTCCATGGTCACATTGTGGTCACATGTGTGGTCACGTGCGTGTCTGTGCGAGCCCTGCGGTCCATGGTCACGTTGTGGTCATGTGTGTGGTCATGTGCGTGTCTGTGTGAGCCCTGCAGTCCATGGTCACGTTGTGGTCACATGTGTGTTCACGTGCATGTCTGTGCGAGCCCTGCGGTCCATGGTCACGTTGTGGTCACGTGTGTGGTCATGTGCGTGTCTGTGTGAGCCCCCCCACAGTCCATGGTCGTGTGTGTCTGTGCGAGCTCCTCCGCGGTCCGTGGTCATGTGTGTGGTCACGTGCGTGTCTGTGCAAGCCCCCACCATGGTCTGTGGTCACATTGTGGTCATGTGCGTGTCTGTGCGAGCCCCCGGTGGTCCATGGTCACGTGTGTGTCTGTGCAAGCCCCCCCATGGTCCGTGGTCACGTTGTGGTCACGTGTGTGTCTGTGCGAGCCCCCCCATGGTCCGTGGTCACGTTGTGGTCATGTGGTGTCTGTGCAAGCCCCCCCATGGTCCGTGGTCACATTGTGGTCATGTGCGTGTCTGTGCGAGCCCCCCCACAGTCCATGGTCGTGTGTGTCTGTGCGAGCTCCCCCGCAGTCCGTGGTCATGTGTGTGGTCACGTGCGTGTCTGTGCGAGCACTGCGGTCCATGGTCACGTGTGTGTCTGTGCAAGCCCCCCCATGGTCCGTGGTCACGTTGTGGTCACGTGTGTGTCTGTGTGAGCCCCCTGTGGTCCGTGGTCACGTGCGTGTCTGCAGCGCTGGCCAGTCTGCCGAGCTGAAGGCCATGCCGTGGCCAGGAGCTCCCTCCGCTGTGTCGTTTGTGAACTAAGACGTGAGGCACGGATTCGGCTCTCTAACCCTGGCAGCGCCGGGACTGCAGTAGCTCAGCCCCAAGTGTTGCAGGCAAACATCAACACTCAGGGACGCCCTGCCACTGCTCCTCGGCCTCAGTCCACGGTGCTTCCAAAACACTTGAAACCATCACGTCTCGCATTCGGAGTGTTTACAGAAAGCAGTAATCTATACATTGGATTGTGTCAGGTGACGCCAGGTGTGTACAGATGGCCAGAGCCACTTCGCGGCTTTAAATTGCCGTGTGGTTTAAAAAACAAAAACTCACACAGCCGGCAAAATCCAGCAGCGCTCTGCCACCCGTGGGACGCGTACAACAATTTCTGTGTGCACTGCCGCCACTTGCGTGGTCCTCCTTTTATTTTTTTTTAAAGATTTATTTTATTTTAAAGATTTATTTATTTATATATGAGAGGCAGAGGCAGAGAGAGAGAGAGAGAGAGGTCTTCCATCCGCTGATTCACCACCCAAATGGCTGCAACAGCTGGAGCTGGGCTGATCCAAAGCCAGGAGCCAGGAGCTTCTTCCAGGTCTCCCACGTGGGTGCAGGGGCCCAGGCACACGGGCCATCTTCTATTGCTTTCCCAGGTGCATTAGCAGGGAGCTGGATGGGAAGAGGAGCAGGGGGACTAGAACCAGCACCCATATGGTGCCCAGGCCGTGGCCTTACCCACTAGGCCACCGCCAGCCCGCAGTGGTCCTCTGCGCAGGGGTGTTCTTACCACCAGGCTGGGTTCGGTGCAGCTCTTTCGTTACCGCTTACCTGTGGAATGCGGGATTCTGCCGTGATCCGCGCCACCAGCCTGGTCGCGGGAAGATCCTTGGGGTCGCAGCCCCGCCACAGTGCCCTGTGCTTGTCCTGCCAGGAACTCCCGGAGGTCCATCAAGCTGGACGGCAAGGGCGAGCCGAAGGGGACGAAGAGAGCGAAGCCGGTGAGGTACACGGCGGCGCGGCTGCACGACAAGGGGGTGCTGCTGGAGATCGAGGACCTGCAGACAAACCAGTGAGTGGGGCCCCATCCCCCGGGGGGGCCTCCCGGCTCCGCCCAGGCTCGGCCTCCACGCTGGGGGCAGGGCAGAATCCAGGAACCGGGCGCCCGACCAGCAGCGCTGACTCAGTGACCCTGCGGGCGCCCGACCAGCAGCGCTGACTCAGTGACCCTGCCCCCTGCACGTGACCCTGCGGCCGGGTTTTCAGCCCTCACTGGAAGGGAAGCCTGCCCTGGGTCTCGGAGTCGAGTCATCTACACTCGTGGGCTGTGCGTGTGTGTGCGTACGGGCGCAGCCCACGCCAGGCACCCCAGCTCCGTGCCGGTTCTCCCTGTCGGCCGTCCCCAGGCAGCCGGGCCCACAGCATCTTCCTGAACCTGGCGTCCATCCCTTGTCCCGAGACCTCCGGCCCACACCCCCGGGGGCCGCGCTCTCTGCGGCGGCTCCTGGAAGAGCGCCGTCCCCCTGCGGGGTGCGGCCCGTATTCGGCGTTCTCATGCCGTCCTGCGCTCCTGGAACAAGGCCGCGTCCTCCACTCCTTAGCCCGGCACACACGTCCCGGCTCTGCGCCGCCCTCAGCCTGGCGTCGGGGGAGCAGAGCAGTGGACGGTGGCGTCCTCGGGAGCCACCAACACGGTCCCCTGGGATCCGCTCCTCTGCAGCTCTGAGCGTGCCTGACCGGCCGCCCCTTCTTCCCAGGTTCAAGAACGTCCTGTTTGACATCATGGCCACTGAGGACGTGGGCATCTTCGACGTCAGGTCCAAGTTCCTCGGTGTGGAGATGGAAAAGGTGCAGCTCAACATCCAGGTAAGCAGGCCGGGCGCCCACGGTGCTGTCCCTGGCGCCCACGGTGCCGGCCCTAGCGCCCACGGTGCCGGCCCTAGCGCCCACGGTGCTGGCCCTGCCACCCACGGTGCCATCCCTAGCGCCCACGGTGCCGGCCCTGCCACCCACGGTGCCGTCCCTGGCGCCCACGGTGCCGGCCCTGCCACCCACGGTGCCGTCCCTGGCGCCCACGGTGCCGGCCCTAGCGCCCACGGTGCTGGCCCTGCCACCCACGGTGCCATCCCTAGCGCCCACGGTGCCGGCCCTGCCACCCACGGTGCCGTCCCTGGCGCCCACGGTGCCGGCCCTAGCGCCCACGGTGCTGGCCCTGCCACCCACGGTGCCATCCCTAGCGCCCACGGTGCCGGCCCTGCCACCCACGGTGCCGTCCCTGGCGCCCACGGTGCCGGCCCTGCCACCCACGGTGCCGTCCCTGGCGCCCACGGTGCCGGCCCT